GATTACAAATTTATACTATCTAAAATAAATGTTGGTAAAAATACGAGGATTACTATTCGAATAACGTTTTAAATTTACGTATATTTCGTGGCATCCATTTTCAACATCCATGGAAATTTACCCCGAGTAAAAGGAAAATAAAATTTTCCGACGTTCCCGAGAGAGAGAAATTTCCCCCGGGAGAATTATTTTGTGAGGACGGGGTCGTAGAACCCTTAGCCTTCGCCGTTGAACTATGTAGGCATAAAACTTCACCTGTGCTTTTTTAAAAAAGAATGTAAAAAAAAAAATTGAAAAGGATATCTTGATAATTTCAAACCCGAAAAGAAGCTTTGGAGTATCATGGACGATGGTCAACAATATTGAAGCCAAAATAAATAGTATGGGCATGTTTATATAGCAAATAGTTCTAGTTATTGTCTGAAATGAATTGTTACAAGACGGTTAAGGGCAAAATGAAGTAGCCCTTTCGATCAATTTGCCAGGGTCTAGATGTTTTATCAGCGTCTTAAAACAGAAAACAGGGCTTAACAAAATCTAAACAGCGGCACAAAAAAAACTTTATGTCTTCTTTCTATAACGATGGGATAATAAAATTCCACATTAATTTGTGTTCGTTTGAATAAAAGAAACCGACACAAGTACCTGTCGAGCTTGGGAAGAGTTTCCGTTAGAATTCTGTGCCAATAACCTACAATCAAATATTATAAAGAACTATGTCATATTCCAGGAAAAAGTGAACTTCCTCGGACAAGTTCCTAACACAAAAGGAATCGAGACGGATTCAGAAAAAGTCTAGGCAGTAGAAGTAAGAGCCCAAGTATATCGAAACTGAGACAAACGTTGAGGGTGAAATAACCCAAAAAGACAAAAAAGCAAAAAAAATGTTCACCTGGAATCAAAAATGGTACCCATGTAGCTGAATAGATACCTACTAAACAGCAAGAAATTTCACATTTCTGTCGAATAATGAAGGGGCTCTGTGAAATACGCAGGCACACTTGAAGCAACAAAGGTAAATGTTACGTACTCGTTTAGTGCTTCGTTAATGCTTCAATGTGCTTCAATCCCCAAATTAGCGACCCTTGTATTTTCGGAGATATTCCGGTTTTTTGAAATCGCCTGCTCAGTTCACACCCAGCAGGAAAAAGGGAAGCACCAACATTCAGTTAGAGATAAATGGTTAGCGCTTCGTTAGTGCTTCAATGTGCTTCAATCCCCAAATTAACAACCCTTGTATTTTCAGAGATAATTCGGTTTTTTGAAATAGCCTGTTCACTTCACACCAAGTAGGAACAACAGTTTCAGATAAAAAATGGGAGTGCGTCCGTGTGCTTCAATCACCAAATTAGCACTTCTCAGAGATATTTCGGTTTCTAGAAATCGCCTGCTTAGTTCATACATATAGCAGGAACATTGGAAGCATTAACGTTCAGTTGTAGATAGATGGTTAGTCCTGATCTATACCATTTCTGATAAGACGAATAGGACGGCTGCTCAAAAGAGAAACTAAGGCCCGATTTATTCACCTTCTGATCAACTATCAGGATTATCTGACAGATAAAAACGCAATCTACAATCCTATTAGCAGGCCAGTTATTTGTCGACCAATGGGATTATTGATTGGCAAAAAAAATTTGTCTTGTAGATAGTTACCGGTAAGTTTAGCGGAAGATGAGTAAACCGGCCTAAGCATTAGGAAGCACTGAGGAAGTTGCATACAATTTTATTTTGACGCAAAATGTATTTAAAATGAAGCAAAATACTCTAGAAGTATATTTTTATATTCAAATCCTCTTTATACTGAACCACTAATAAATATTTAATTATTCAAATATTGAATATAACAAAAGGCGCGAAAACGCTCTCAAATTGGCTATGACGTCATAGAACGATAAGCAAACAAGAGTGTGGTTATGTTAACGTGAAACCTGAGCCGTCAGGCGCTTCTGTTTACATCGAATTCTACAGCTGGATCCACCATTCTATGTCGGTCATTGTCATTTTCCATTCAGTAAATAAAGATACCTCTCGTTTTTATTCTAATCGGCGACTTCACCGATGAGTTAGCTATCTTTGTTTAGTTTATGGAAAATGACAATGATCGACAAAGGCGCATAAACCAATGACATAAAATACAATTGACAATGGATAAGACAAGGACAGAGTACAGAGACTCGTTTTGACGGATATCGTCGTGTGACGTGATTGATTTACGACTGCGTTTTGGCGCGAAGAGAGTTATTTTGATTTTCTATCTTTTTTTACAGAAAAACTATTAGTTGAAAATTTAAAATTTACGCGGCAAGTGGCTTTTTACAATATAAAGAATTTATTAAGAGAATTTAAAAAAAAATGTGCTAATTCCTCATTAGTACATACTAATCATATTTATAAGTAATTCAGACCAGAGTTTATGCTGTTCATATTCTCGGTTCTCCGTCCTGGAAGTATAAGAGTTGGTAAAAGATGAGGTGGTGCATCATGAAGCACTAACCATCTATTTACAACTACTAAACGCTGGTGCTTCCAATGTTTCTGCTATGTGTGAACTAAGCAGGCGATTTCTAAAAACCGGAATATCTCTGGAAGTTCAAGGGTTGCTAATTTGGGAATTGAAGCACATTGAAGCACTAACCATTTATCTGTAACTGAACGTTGGTGCTTCCCTTGTTCCTGCTGGCTGTCAAGTGAGCAGACGATTTCAAAAAACCGAAATATCTCCAAAAATACAAGGGAAGCTAATTTGGGGATGGAAGCACATTGAAGCACTAACGAAGCGCTGTAACGGAACGTTGGTGCTTCCCTTGTTCTTGCTGGGTGTGAAGTGAACAGGCGATTTGTAAAAACCGAAATATCTCCGAAAATATAAGGGTTGCTAATTTGGAGATTGAAGCACATTGAAGCTCGTTGAAGCACTAACCATCTATCTACAACTACTAAACGTTGGTGCTTCCAATGTTCCTGCTATGTGTGAACTGAGCAGGCGATTTCTAAAAACCGGAATATCTCTAGCAGTTCAAGGGTTGCTAATTTGGGAAATGAAGCACTGACCATTGATCTGTAACTGAACTTTGGTGCTCCCTTGTTCCTGCTGGGTGTGAAGTGAGCAGGCGATTTCAAAAAACCAAAATATCTCCGAAAATACAAAGGTTGCTAATTTGAAAATTGAAGTACATTAAAGCACTAACGAAGCCCTAACCATTTATTTGTACCTGAACGTTGGTGCATCCCTTGTTCCTGCTGGGTGTGAAATAAACCGGCGATTTCTGTAAACCGATTTTTTTCTGAAAATATAGGGTTGCTAATTTGGAGATTGAAGCACTAACGAAGCACTAACCATTTATCTGTAATTGAACGTTGGTGCTTATCTTGTTCCTACTGGGTGTGAAGTGAGCAGGCGATTTCAAAAACCGAAATATCTCCAAAAATACAAGGATTGCTGATTTGGGTATCGAAGCACATTGAAGCACTAACCTTTTATCTCTAACTGAACGTTGGTGCTTCCCTTGCTCCTGATGGGTGTGAAGTGAGCAGGCGATTTCAAAAAACCGAAATATCTCCGAAAGTACGAGAGTTGCTAATTTGGAGATTGAAGCACTAACGACTCGCTAAGCGATTACGTAAAATTTAACTTTTGTGCTTCAAGTGTGCCTGCCTACTTCACAGAGCCCAATGAAGGGGATCTGGCTTCAATAGCCTCTGCCCCTGCGAATTGACTTAATCACTCGTAGTTAAGAAAGTCCAGATGAAAAAATAAATCAGACCGTTTTGTTACAGAATACTATGTGAAATGCAATGTATTGGAGTAATGGCTACTTCGGAGTCAATAGAAGTTTGGCTTGAGTAAGATATAAGAGATATCGGTATTACTAGATCAACTGTTATAGGGATGCCGAGGAATGGTGATGCAACAGATGCGACCACTGTGCTTTTAGGAAAGGAACCAAGACGCGATTTCGTGGATAAATTAAACAGTACTTGCCTGGTTCTCCTTTGGAGGAAGATGCGATTAATATCGCTGGTCTTCTACCTACAACAGTCGAAAAATGAATATCTCATGACTGGGATTTTTTCCGGAGTTCTAATCCACAATCAAGAAGCGGCTATAGTTGCTGACGCATTACTGGAAAACCTCATAGTCCGACACGGCGATGAAACTTCACACCGATCAGGGCAGGAATTTCGATATATGGTAAAAACTGATAATGATGCGAGTGATGAGGTTACTGGAAATAAAAAAACCAGAACCACTCTACCTCATCCACAGTCCGACGGAAGAAGTCCAGACGCACAATCGGATAATCAGTCAATACACCAGTAAGAATGGAAACTAAGATAAACTGGTGGCTCTTTTCCTTTAGACTTATAGAAGCTTCCAACATGAATTCACCGGCTATACACGTCAATGCTGTTGAGTAAAAAAGATATGGAGCTTCCTGCCTTCCGCCAGCCGATGAAGACGAAACTGTTTTTCCAGGTTATGTGGCTGATCTACACAGCAGTAACATAATAAACATTTGCAATAAATGCGACGCCGTCTGGTCTTATGAGTGACAGGAAAAGAAGGGAATGAGCCAGAAATTAAAGTATGTTTTTTTTTAAGAAAATTCCCCAAGTCAAAACTTTAGTAACTATGTTGGCAACACAAGCTTTTTCTACATAAAAAATTTGAAAGAATTGACAGTTTTACATTGTATTGCCAACATAATGTCATTTTGACTTTTATCTTTAAAAAAACATACTTCAGGAAGACCGTAGAATACGATATTGTCAAGGTAGAACGGTTGTCAACAATGTCAACATAGAAAGGCATACACCGATTTGGATGCCCCTAGGAGACTCTGCTCGCCCAAAATATACTCTAGCTGGCGTTACCGGATATTTCTAATAGAGAATTATCGAGACAATTACAGAAATTTTGAAACGGTACATAAGCATAAGCACCTCGTAACGTCAATGCGAGCAGTTGAGATTTTTCGAATTCGAGAGGTCGACGATCAGTTGTAATTTTGCATTGCAAATAGCTTACTTTGAATAAATGTAGCTAATCTGCGAACCCGTATACGTGATAAAAATAAATCCTAAAAATTGGCCTTATTCAGTTTCAGGGAAGTTTGGAGAGATCCGAAGAGGTATATGATGATAAATTGGAAACCGTAGGATTTTCAAAGAGTATACGAGAAAGTACAGGAAATATTTATCTAATGATATAGAAAGTTTATATGTCGAATTTGGGAGCTGGTTGGGATTGGATTGGTTTCTCTATTTGGGCCTTGATATGGATTTATAAGTAAATGAAAAATAGTATCAAAGATTTTCTTGGCCCACGAATCACCTCAGTAAATTTATAGGTACTGAGGAAAACCACCTATTTGAAATATCATTTCTTCAAATCTTAAATTTTTAAAACGATTAGATACTATAGAGAAACAAATGGTAAATGTTGCAACCATATATGCGCTGTCGAGTAGGAGCAAGCGTAGACGTGCCACACAAAAAGATACCGAAAGGGTAGACAGACAGAAATTGAGGGACAGAAGGGAACAAGCTTGTCCTGTCCGCCATTGTTCATTATTCAATTTCCATTTTGTATTAAACTGATTGTTCAATCCAATTTGTAATTAGTTTGTGTGTCATAAGGAGCATTCACAGGTCAGTTGAATAAATATTATTTTGTTTTGAGAGTTCAAGTTATAAAAGTAATATTTCCTTCATTTTTATGTTTTTTTGTTTGTTTATGACATTTTTTATAACATGTGCATTGTTCATGTATTTAACAAAAATCGTTACATGCTGTGAACAAAACAGATAAAAACAGTAAATTAAAACCAAAGAAATTTTATGCTGTCCTTTGTGCTGGGATTTTAATTTTTGGTATTCAGAACGTGCATTAGGGACTTGTTGAATCTACTAACATTTTCTTACCCTTACAAGCGAATATCCTAGCAAACAAATTTAAAAATTAATCTTGAGATATTGGCTCAAAATAACAACTATAGCTGAGTAATCTCTCGTAACCAGGGACCTCAGTACCTGTCGGCAGATAGGCTAACTGACCAAAAACTCTTCAGTATTGAATATAGGTAGTGTTGATTGAATGTAGTGTAAGGAATTAAAATTTTAGCACAAGCACAGGGGCGGTACCTAATTTTATCATTGACTTAAATTATTAAAATGACACACTATGTTTTGATTATTGAGGAATGTTAGATCGAACGTTTCTCTGCCGTGCTATCCCTCGTAAGTTCTAGGTCGAGAATGGTACGATTTACTTTATTAATAAAGTGGACGTTTCACAAATTTTTCATTTATTTTCCATATCACAATTTCCCTAATTTTCCTATTGTCGGGCGCATGTCCAGTAAGTAAAATTGAGTAAGTTTCCACAACGTACATCCTATTTGTTTTTCATTCCGTTTTTCAGAAGATTTGTTAAAAGAAGAGGTAATAAGAATTCACACCGTTCAATCTTGCTGAACGAACCCGGGTATGGTATACTTTAGTAAATACTTACATTTTTTGATTCGTATAGTTTCTTAAGTTCTTCATACAGCCACATTTCCACAGCCAGACGTTTCCTTATAAGGCTCATTTGGTGATGTCCGTATTTGGCAGTTAAAAACTTCTCTCGTTTTTCCTTGATTTCTCCTTTTTCTTTAAAGTTGACGTGCAGTCCGGTCTTTGCTGGCGATCTACTAAAAAATCCTGTATGTTAATAATTTCGTTTTCCGCGCGACAGCTAAATTCTGCACTAAATTGAATTAAATATGAGGTCTTTTTACTTAAATATAAACATATCAACATTGCCATTGCGTGATTATTATTTGAACAGGAAGTGCTTCCACCAGTTTCTTATTTATATCAGTTTTTCTAATAAAAATCGATAGAAGCAGCATCATCTTGTAACAAGTCGGCGCCTCGGTTTTTACTAAATAAAAATCTACAATTGTTCGTTGATACCGCATTTGCATTAGAAAGAAATTGAAGGTTTCAAATGTAGTGTTTCTTGGTTCTTGATGCAATCCTGTTCAATATTTTAGTTTGCATTTGTTTTCTGTTATGCCTACTAAATAGACCTTGGTGCCTTAAAATGTATTGGTAAATTAAAAATTTCTACCTGTTAGTAGTCCTCTGAACTTCTCCTACGGCTAAAATTCCAGCCGGGGGAGGCGGTCCTCCATTGGCCACGAAACCGCTTTGCAATCCTACTTCCATATTTTCAGAGGCTCAGAGATATCTGGAAAAAAGTTCATAATTTTTTTTAGTCAGTGATTTACTTTTTGTATAACCTACAGGTTGAGGGAATGGAAATAAAATAGTGATACAATCTAGTGGTTTACAGATCAAATTAGTGGATATACATTTTATTGTTTAATTTATGTATTTCCTAATAAGTGGGAATGGACTCTGATATAATAGACAATCCATGTATTGAGGATTTTTCAGCTGTCGCGTCAAGCCAACGGTATATAACAGCGGATCAAAGCAGATCAGATTATTGGTCCGAAGAAAAATACACCTAAAGCTAGAAGCAATGTATAATTGAAACCCTTCAAAAAATTGAGATTGAAGCAAGACATGCCAAGAAAAAGTCCAAAGTAGAACAAATGAATATAAGAAGTTAAACGATCATCGAATTGAATATAAAGATAATTATTCATCAGATGATGAATCAACTTTCAGCACTGAAGGGGAAAATGTTGATTTCAAAAGAACTTCCAGAGACTCTCAAAATAGCAGAAGTTTGCGCTGAAAGTAGATAGGTGGTCTCAGATCTTACGCAGCAAAAGAGTTAGTGATGGAAAAGGAACGAACTTTTTGAAACGTCATCATGCATCAGATTGGTTTACAATAAGTGAAGGCGATCTGGCTTTGACTCTGGTTCCATTATCCGTTATTGGGTACCTACTTTCAAGCTCTCAGTTTTCATTATTGATATAATAATAATAATAAAGAACTTTATTTATACTGCATAGCCAACAGAGCAAAGCTTGCACAACAGATACACAGTTTAGTCACTAAGTAGGTAGGTACACCATGACAGTAGAGAAAACTTCAGACAAAAATATCATAAAATTTGAAACAAGAAAAAAAAATAAAGCATGCCTCAGAAGGCTAGTTTAACAATAACAACACAAAATATAAATGTACATGTATAAATGTAAATATAAAAATAAATAATATAAATATAAATACAAATCAAAACACAACAAAATCTAACTATGATAAAGCTTTAGGAATTGACCCTTTTTATCACAAAAAATATCAAAGTTCGAGTAATTTCCACAAAAAAGGTATTAGCAGCTTGCAAACATCTATTCACAGGTGAACATTGGTGAGATACATGGAAAACATTAAACGTTTCGTCTCCTTCTTAGCCTAACATCTGGTACATTAAAAAAATATTTTGCATTATTTCAGGTGTAGAATCATGTTGCAAACATTGAATTCAAACAAAATATCATTCAGTTCACGTCGTTTTTCCAACCTAACAAAATCAAACCCTAGGATCTGATCTCAAATGCCATGTTTATGGAAATATACAGACCTCAAAAAAAAAATCTGAATTCTTCCAATGTTTTCTGAGTGAACTTTGGTTTTAAGATTCCAAACAACTTGTATATTCAAGTTGTGATCTCACATAAGCATTAATAGTAAAAACTGGATGTTCGCTGTTTTAAGGTCCCGGCAAGTTCTCAAGACAAATCCCAATTTCCTCAAGCCCTGCTCACACAAAATTTTGATATGATCATTAAAATCAGATTATGCGAGAACAGTAACCCCAGGTGAACTCTGCTTAACTCTTATTCCTCGACCTCATATCTGTTTGTAATAGATGCTGTTTTTGTCCGAGAAAATGTCAAGCAGTTATATTTAACAATATTAAGCTTTAATTGATTATCAGAGCAGAAAGCCGCGACTGTGAGATGATGTGATGTACTTTGAAATATCATTAACAAACATCACAAAAAGAAGAGGCCCCAGGATTGAACCTTGGGGGACTCCAGAAGTAGGAGTGAAACAATCTGAAAGTTTATCATTAAATTTCACAGCCTGATATCTGCCAGTTAGGTATGACTTCAGATAATCTATCAAGTTCCGACCCAAGGAGTAATTCTCAAATTTTTAACAAGGACAGAGTGGTAACCCTGTCGAATGCCTTAGCCAGGTCAGTATAATATAACATCCACTTGATGCCCAGATCCAAGATGATGAACCATGTATTCATCATAGATAGATTAGTAACCGTAGACCTGTCCCGTATGAAACCGTGCTGCTGAGGTACACTATTTATGAGTTCGTTTATTTTTGAATGCATTATTCTTTCAAAGATCTTTGATAGAGCCCGCAGAACAGTTACAGGTCTATAGTCACTGACTATTCTTGTATTTCCACCTTTGTAAATTGGAGTAACATAGTCCAGTTTTAGTTTATCTGGAAAAATCTTTCTTTCAATGAAATATCTACCAATTTTAAGATTGGTTCTTTCAATATATCGGCATAGGACTTATAAGAATAGGCTGGAATTCTATCCTCTCCTATTGAAGCCTTAGGTTTTAAACTCTCATTAGCTTCAGCAACATCTTCAGAAGTGAATTTATCCATAGAGAGTTCAGCAGATAAAAATAATCACTTAGCCACAACATCAGAGGAAAAAGCCAATATGCTTGCCCAAATGTTTTCCTCCAGCTCCAACCTAACAGTGCCAAACGGAAAAACTCCACCGTTCATTGAAAGGGTTTCCCATAGTATGCCAGAGGTACCCTTTTATCACAGAGAAATACGAAAATCCCTAAAAAAGCTGGATACAAACAAAGCAATGGGTCCGGATGGCATTCCCGCAATAGTACTCAAAAATTGCGCCAACGAACTCACCCCAACTTTCGCAAAATTATTCAATTTGTCTTACAGGCAAGGAGTATATCCATCATCATGGAAGTCTGCCGCAGTACAACCCATTCCAAAGAAAGGAAAAAAGACAGATCCGTTAAACTATAGACCAATCGCTCTACTTCCGGTGATATCAAAAGTAATGGAAAGAGTTGTGAACAATCACCTAACCAAGTACTTGGAAAAGTACAAAATTATCAACGATAAGCAATACGGATTTCGAAAATATAGGTCAACTGGCGATTTACTTACATACGTCACTCACTTATGGCAAAAAGCGATTGAGTTGCGGGGTGAAACAAGAACAATTGCCTTAGATATATCTAAAGCATTCGACAAAGTTTGGCATGAAAATCTGCTCAACAAGCTCAAAGCAATGGGATTATCGCCGAAACTTTGCACTTGGTTTGAAAGTTACCTAAAGGACAGATCCATTTATGTTGCACTGGATGGCCAGAACTCCAACTCTTACCAAATAAATGCTGGTGTGCCACAGGGAGCAATCCTTTCGCCAACTCTTTTTCTGATTTACATAAATGACCTCATAGATAAAACAGTAAATCCACTTTATTGCTTTGCAGACGATGGCAATGTAGTCTCCTCACTCATACCACCGACAGGTCTTTCCGCACGTGAATTCCATCATCTTAGACTAACTCAAATATCGCAGATAAATAACGACCTGGAGATAATAGAGGACTGGGGTAACAAAAACCTTGTACAGTTCAACGCGCAGAAAACCCAAGCAGCTCTGTTTTCAAAAAAGACCAGCACCGGTGAGCCAAACATCATGGTATCTGGAAGTGCTGTCACATTACAGAGTCAGTTGAACATCTTGGGGGTTACTGCAGAGACCAACATGTCTTGGCACAGTCACGTGGCAGATATTGCTAAAAGGGCCTCCCAAAAGCTGGGGGTGCTATTTCGTACAAGACATCTGTACACACCAAGCCAATTGCTGACACTCTACAAAGCCCAGATTCGACCAACTATGGAGTACTGCTCACATATATGGAGTGCAGCACCCAAACATACCTTAATGCTTTTGAATACCGTGCAAAAACGAGCTATCAAGCTGATCAATGACCCCGCACTTACTCGTAACTTGGATGGTCTCGAACATCGCAGAACGGTGGGCGATTTATCTCTCTTCTACAGGTACTATCACGGAAAATGCTCTGAAGAGTTGGCACGTATGATTCCACCGAGAGTAGCACCTACCAGGCGAACCCGTCAAACAGACGGTAACCATGAATTTACTGTCAAACTAGAGGCACCAAGAACCTCATTATATCAGAATTCATATCTCTGGAGAACAGCATCGCTGTGGAATAAACTCCCTACGACGGTTTTCCCTGCAGGTTACAACCTGAACCGTTTCAAGACCAACATACACCGACATTTCCGCGCACTTGCCGCTTCTCGAGCGTGATAGGACATTTCCTTGCGAGTGCGCATATCCGTAAAAAAAAAAAAAAAAAAAAAAGCAAGATTATAGTCCATACTATATTTCCCAAGATTCTGCGGTGAACCACTACTATTCTCATCAGAGAACTCATTGTTATCATAAGTGAAATTGTAGCTGATATTACTATTTTGTCTTTAATTCCTAATAAAGCTCCAAACATTTTTTGGATCATGGAAGATACTTTCAATATTTTTTTAAAAATGTGTCCTACATTGAGTCATATGTTTCTTAGACTAAGATCTTAGTGATCGATACTGAGCTGCATAAGATTCTCTACAAGCAAAAGTCTTTTTAGACATCTTGAAATAGTGCTTTTTTATAGCTAAGATATGTATAAGCTTTTTTGAAAACTTTTTAGGGTAGTTATTATTGAATATTTTTCTTTTTTTTCTTGGAATACACTGAGGGTCTCAAGTATTCCATAAAAAACCTCAATACAGACATTTGGATTATGAGCTCTCTCGAGCTCTGTCCAATCTTGGCTGTTTAATAGACTATATAGAAAAGAATATTTACCATGTCTAAAATCATACCTAACAGCAGGGCCGGATCTAGGGGGGGGGGGGGGGCGAAAAGGGGCGCGCGCCCCCCTCCGCAACTTAAGGGGGCGGCAAAACGAGAAGACACTGCCTAACTTTTTTTCATAAAACATACATATCTAGCGATTTTTTTTAAAAAAATTCATTATCTAATATTGTGCCAACTTGTAGCACATCTTCTGATAGAACAGCCGACCACCCCACAGTAACCTTACTCAAGGTTCCCTGTATTATGCTGCCCTCTCCGAAAGAAATAGAGCTTTGACGTCCGATCACGTTGTAGATTATAGATTGCGGGGGAGTCGTTTCGGCTTTTCAGCCGCTCAGCACTGCTACCTT